TAGCAGCTTTTGTGATAAACACTCATAAATAGAAAGGAAACCCAGAAGCAAGTTGGTGATGGGAACATTTCTAGGAGTATGTTAACCACCTGGAGAAATATTGACCGGGAAGTTGGCAGGGATGCTATTGTAAAACTCAGCCGAGTCCCCAAGTTGTGTGCACACTGTCAATAGCCCATGAGGCTGAACTGAAAAGGAAAGCATTTTATCGGATTGTTTCAGGTCCAGGTTGTTGGTGCGCATTGAGTGGACTCAACAGGAAATTGGAGATGCAGGAATGTTAATTTGAGTAGCAGATGTAACACACAAACAAGAAGCTCAGCAAATTGGAAATTAATTCTGGATAGACCACTCTGTCTGTGCTTTCCTCTCCATTTGCACTATGTCTATATCATGGGGTTCTCATGTACGGTTTCTGCTGTGTATCACTTCTCAACAAATCATCTGTGATTTCTGATTTAAAAAAAAAAAAAAGACCCTGAGCCATAGAAAGAAAGGAATATAAATACCCCACAGGTCACCAAAGCCTTTGTCCCCTGGGCAAGGGCACAGTCGTTGCCCAAAATACATCTCTCAGTGCTTTGCTTGACCTAGTTTTAAATGTCGTCACCATCAACTCGTATTTCTGCTCACGAGTCCAGTTGCACACCTCTGGCTCTGTGAGGGACATCACAGACTTTAAATACAAAGGCTTAGGAACAATTCTCTCTCCTTTGCCCCTCCCTCCTGCAGCTGGGTGTTTGCCACTCCTTGGCCTTTGCTTAACATGAGCAATGCACATGTAATTTTTACCAGCATTCTGGGAAAACCAACCTTCGAAATCTTTCATTTTTCAATTTTATTCCTTCAGCTTTGGCACCTCCCAGCGATCCCTGGGCTATTTTGGCTCATCTGAACTCCATCTTCCTTCATCCACCATCTTCTGCCTCTTTGAAGGTGCCATCTAGAAAACAGGGCAGTGTCTGAACGGTCCCCAGTTGCAGCTCTCCTTCTTTGCTGGCCCCTGTCCCCCACCTGCATCTTCTATCCTGTGTCCTCGGGGCCTTGGTGACATATGTCCAGCAGCTCACCTGGATGTTTCCAGCACATTGTCCTAACCTCCTGATGTCTTCTTGTATTAGATCTCTGTCCTCCCTGATGTTTGCTACATCTCCCAATTTAGTATCATCTGCAAATTTAATTAACATGCCGTTGCCTCCCTGTTCCAGGCCATTAATGAAGACGTTATGGCAGGACCCAGCAAACAATATTTTCAAGGTCATGATGAGAAGAGAGCAAAACTGCTAATGCCTCTGCCCAATATGGGGGAAAGAGGCAATCAAGAGTCCACATGTTGTTTGAGCCATTTCCTCTGAGTTTTGTGAACTTCCTTTCCCAGACTTGGGTCAAGTTTTCACGCCTCCCCTCTGCCTCAGCTGCGGCACATCTATAGCAATTCCCATTTGGAAAATGAAGAACATCAGATTATGCCTTCCTTTTATTTTTGTCCAGTTTCTAGCAGGAGAAACAGCCACTAATTGAGCATTTGTAGGGAGAGCTGATGTACATGGTAAAGACAAAGTAGCAGTTATTAGGCTCGTTATCCACCCAGCTCTCCATCTCCAAAGCACTAACTGTGGCAGTGGAAAATACCCATGGAGGACCAAGGCACCTGACAAAGAGGGGAGAGAAAATACATTGCTGGCGAGACAGTTCCTACAGGGCTGACCCACAAGATCACTAGATCTGTGCCCATAAGGCCATGAGGGGAGGCTATGTCATCCCAGAAGCTTACAACCCCAAGCAGACCTGGGTCCCCCCCATTAGTTTATATTCTGTTCTTGCATTGCAAGGAGTAGCTCACAGTAAACCCTGGTTTGCCTTCCTTCCGCACCAAACTGCAGGTGCCATATTGTAATGCTGTAAATTACTTGGGTCAGAAATACTGAATCATAGGAGAGATCCAAGATAGTGCTACCCACAACCAAGACAATTGGTCCTGGGTTATTTACTGTTGCCACCACTTCCTTTCTCCTCATCCCTCACTACAGACCTGTCTCAGGTTTGGAAGCTCATAATCATTTCTCTGACAGTGTCTTGAAGGGATATGTGGACCACGGCCCAGATTGGCCCAGCAGAGGCAGGGCACAGCTCTCAGAGCCCAGTGTGGTAGTTGGGTGGTGACCTTAGGAAAGTGGCCCCAAATGTCTCCTTGTCTTAGTGGATAGGCCTAGTCCACCATCTGCAGCCCTGCTCTGAGTCCAGGTCTGGCTTTTCCAAATCTGAGCTCTTGTCCTGATTAGTTGGCCCAGGCTGAGTCATGCTCAGAGACCTCAATGGGGTTGGCTAAGGAGCTGCAGGTTCACAGAATTTGTAGCAGGGCGCTGTTTTGTGTCTTCCCCAGCTATAGACATCCATATGCTCACTCACCAAAGAAAAGCATAGTGGTAGCAAGTGTGATTTGGAAGCCAGACTCCCTGAGTTTGAATCCTGATACCGCCATTGTAATGCTGCATGACCTTGGAACAGTTGTTTCACCGCTGTTTCCCCACGTGTAAAATGAGATAATTACCAACACTGATGTGGTGTGGTAGCAAAAGAGCTGATGATACATGCAACATCTGCCTGTCATTTATTACATGCTCCAGACACTGTTGAGGTCCCAGAGCCAGCAAACATTTTCTCTAAAGGTCCAGATAATAAATATTTTCACCTTGGAGGCCATAATGTCTCTATCACCTTAACTCTGCTGCTGAAGCCCCACAGCATGGGCAACACATAAATGAACGAGGGAAAGTAGCTCTGTCCCAATAAAACTGTATTTGTGGATATGGAAATTAAACTCACATGTCACTAAATATTATTCTTTTGATTTATTTTAATTATTAGAAAATGTGAAAACCTGCTAGGATGTCTAAGTGGGAGAATCACTTGAGCCTAGTAATTCAAGACCAGCCTGAGCAAGAATGAGATCCTGTTTCTACTAAAAATAGAAAAATTATCTAGGCATTGCAGTGGGCACCTGTAGTCCCAGCTACTCAGGCGGCTGAGGCAAGAGGATCACTTGAACCCAGGAATTTGAGGTTGTTGTGAGCTATGACACCATAGCACTCTTGCCTGGGTAACAGAGATTTTGTCTCAAAAAAAAAAAAAAAAGTAAAATAAAAACAGTTCTTAGCTTGTAGGATGTATACAAACAGTAGACAGGTGGTGGGCTGGATTTGGCCCACAGGCTCTATTTTGCCTGCCCCGGTCTCGGTGTTAGAGATGCAGGTGTTAACAGCCCCCATAGCAGCCCATAGCACAGACAGAGCTTCCCCAGAGCATCCTTGAGACTGAGAAGTTGGCAGGCTACTCTGTGAACCTCTGTGATGCAGTGTTAAAAGCCCCTCATGAAACAGGGTGCATGAGATGCCAATGAGGCCCAAGCTTAAGGGATAACAACTCAACTGCCAGCCCTGACAATTTGAGCTCTAATTCCTCAAAGATAAATCTCAAAGACTTCAGAGCCACACTGTCCTATGACAACAGTAGCTGGTCCAGCTCACTGGAGGTGTTCAACCCTGACAGGGAGTGGAGGGCTATGCAGCACATGGAGACCCTGGTGGCAGGTGGCCAGGCCACCAGGCTACTGTCTGTTCTCATTAAGCCTTGTGGGGTGGGGAATGTAGTGGTTATCTGTGTTGGGTTTGAAGCACTGCAAAGATTTGTTTCTTTCTCAGGGGAAAAGCCATAGCAAATCAAAAGACTGACAGGGCAAAGTCACCTAGGCAAGAAGCAGCCCTGTCGGCACGTTTGGGGTAGCCTCTCGGTCACTGCCCACCCAGACCCTCGGGATTGAACACCCACAGTGCTCCCCCAGCCTCCCTGTCCTAATGCCGACACCCACCAAGTCATCTTCCAGCATGATGTTTTTATCACATCATCCCCTTCAAGGTGTTGTGAAGACCCCCCCCCCCAGTAACCACCGTCCCCCACATCAAATCTAAATCCTCTGCTAGGTTCCTAAGGGCCCCACACTCAGACCCAACTGAGTCACTCCCGACCCACACAGGGGATCTCCTGTAACACCCCATCCTTTGTGTCTTCTGTGTCTTCTGTACCTGGCCATGTCCAGCCTTGACCCTTGGAGGAAGAGACCTTGCAGTGAGGTCACAGATGAGCAATTTTACTGTGCTGCTGTCTCTTATCTGTTGAATGGGAGAAACAGAGACACCAACCTCATGGGGTTGCTGAGTTTGAATAGCACGTGAGTGTCAAGCATTCGCTGAGCAATGCTATGTTCGGAAATGGCACCAGCCAGCAGCAGCAGCAAGCCCAGTCTGACTCCAGATCACATTCACCTCTTCCCTTGTCCCTCTTTCAATCTTCAAACTTACTGCTTGACTTACATGATTACCACCAATTATCTCCCAAATAGGTGTCCAGTCTCCGTTTAGGTTACAAACATGTAGACCTTCTATGCCCCTTGCCCTTACGGATTTCCTCAGCTCTCTTATGGCATCTTGCCCTGCGCAGCCCTGGGTCTGGACTCAGTCATTTTCTTTTCATTAATAGATTGAAACACTGCCACATACTCCTGAATGCTTCCTCTCATGAGGGGCTTCAGGGGAAGAATGAAGAGAAGTTATCTTTCTAATACTGAGCTCTGACAGGCTTACAAAGAATCTGATCACTAAAGTGTTGGCCTGGAGATGCTCAACAATGTCATAAATTTAAGGAACAAAAAAGATAAGACTTTCATTAAAATGACCCTCTGAGCGGCAGCTGAGTGTTCAGCAGACAGGAAAATGCCACCTAGGTGAGTGCTGGCTTCCACAGATCCCTGACTTGCTTGCGGAGAGGCCTTCCAGGAAAGTCCTGGAAGCCCATTATGTGGCAGGCCCTGCCTGTGGTTTCCATGAGCTCCAAGAATCCAGGCTTCCCCATCCCAGGGCCCTCAAAGATGTGGCCAAAGGTTAATGAGCTCCCAGGGGAGTTCCAAGGGACAGGAGGTATATAAGGGCCCATCACACCAACCAGACACCAGAGGACAAGCAGGAAGACTCCTCCAGGCCCACTCTGACTACGTTCACACTGTAAGTAGCCATCAGAGAAAGTGGGTGGGGGAGGCTGTCAGCATGGGCCATAATGCCAGACAGCGGTGTGAGCTGGAGACAGCCCAGTCCCAGGCACTCTGGAGTGAGCTGACCTGCTCCTGTGTCCCTCTGCCACCTTCTAAGAGCCAGCTAGGCTTCAGACTGAGAGAACTGAGCTAATTCCCAAGGAAATACAAGAATCATTTAAAGTCACACAGAGAGCAAAAGCAGGGCTGAGGTTTAGAGGCTGGAAGGAAGCAAGTGGGTACAATCCCTGCAAAGCAGAGGCTGTTTGAGTGTGTCTGGCACACCAACAGCAGGCCAGAAAGTCACCCACAGCTCAGCATGGATGCACAGCCCTACTTGGAAGGCAGCTTGGCTCTGGGAAGGCAAGAAAAATCAGGTCCCAAGGGCAAGAATTAGCCCAGCCCAGTGCTGCTGTGGGGCAGGGGGAGCCAGCACCCCCTCCAGCAGAGCTGAGTACTTGAGGGGTGGAGCCCAGTGACGATGGATGGAAAATAGGGTTCAACACCTCATCATGCAATGGAAAGCTGTCTTTCCCACTCCCAGCTCAGTAGAACACACGTGAACGCAGGCAACTCGCCCACTGCCGGTTAGATCAAGAAAATGAACAATTGGTTTTGCCTTTTTTTATTTTAAGTTTGTATTGATTCTTATAGAGTGAATTAAATACAAACACCAGAATGAAAAGGGATCTATAGTATCTCCATGAAGGAAATGGGATGCCATAAATGTGACATATCCTTCTCCACTGGGAGGAATATAGCTCCCAGAGACACTGCAGGGAAAGGACAGGAAGGAGAGGGGAAACGGTGATGGGCTCACCCACCCCACCCATCCTCTGTTCAGCAAAGCTCCTCTGGGGCTCCATGCAGGGCCTCAGCTTCCCAGAAGGTGGTCTTTAGTGATCAGATGGTCCTTCTAACCTGCTGGGAATTTGCATGCAGCTTGGATGGGGAGACTCTGGCTGTTTGAGCTCTCATGTTGCTCAAAATGAAAGTAGGCAGTGGGTAAGAAGAGAGTGGATGAGGGAGTGTCCTGCTTGGTAGCAGTGGTTTCAGATGACTGAAGAGATAAGTCCTGGCTGAGAGGCAGGATGCAAGCTCACAGCTTGGAAGGTCCTCTTCACAGGTAGAGCTGGGCTCAGACATACAGAGAAGCCTTGAGGCCAGCCCAGAGCACAACCCTCTCCTACCCACAAATCCAGGCTGCCTGAGGGCTGTGAGAACTTATCTGAAACCCAGTGCCTACCTCCACCCCATCCCTACTGCCACAGAGGCCACCCTAGTCTCCCCTCCCTGCTCTGGAGGCCTGGGTCCTGTGTTCAGTGGTCCACCAAGAATAGGAACAGTGGTGCCCAAGATGTATCCAACAGGCCTGCCCCCTGGGACGCCCTCCTCCACCTTCTTATGGGCAAAGCAATGTGAAGTTGGGTATTGGGAAATGCTCCAGGCCTCAGAAGGCCGGGGCTTCAGCCCCTGCTGCCTTTGAATTAGTCAACTGAGGCTGGCACCCAGCCAGACAGTGCCATCTCCTCCCCAGGACCACCCTGTCCTTGACCAAAGGCTGCCCAACAGAACCCCCTACTCAAGCTTGCAGTCACTGTGCCAACTTGCTCCTCGGCAGGACCTAAGCCCTGAAAGCCTTCATGGTCTGCCATCCTGTCAGCCATCCCAGACATACCCCCTACACACTAGCACCCCACCAGCACTCACATTCCCAGGGTATCGATGGACTTGAACAGAGGAGGCCCCTCCCTGTTGTTTCTGGACAATGGCCAGTAGGCAGTTAGATGCACTGGAGCCAGTGAGTAGCTTGTTCTAGAGCCACTACTCGCCCCACTGGTGTGAGGGCTGCAGTCTCAGCTCTAGGGTGCTGTCCCACACTAAATTTTTCCATCTAGTTCTTCCTTCACATGGCCAGAGGGTCTCAGGTTTGTCCTCTACAGACCAGGGTCTTGGCCTGGTACTCCCAGGTAGTGCCCTGGTCATCCCTTTCATCATTCTAATCAGCATATGGAACAGGGAGGCCTCCCTGGGTCTTAGAGTGTGGTTCTGTTGATAACCTAATTCTTTCTCTGTGAGATGAGGTCCCTCCTGCCATTTGAGCCCAGGTGGCCCCAGAAGACATTGGCTATAACAAAGACAAGGCTGATAAGTGGAATGATTCTTCCCTGGTGTGTGGCAGGGGACTGAGTGGCCTTTCCCAGGAGCTATCACAGCTCTGGGGCAGAAAGGATGCTCAAAGCTCATCTGGTTAAGCCCTGATAGCAGGCCCAAGTCCAGACAGGCTAAAGGTCACACAGCCATAGGGCATGAACCAGGGCTAAAGGCTCCTGCCTCCAATGCCATAGTCTACTACTGTGCCCTAAATTTGGTTAACCAAAGAAAGCTCTTTGTCAGTGTCCAGCTCCAAAATGGTGTCCCACAAGGTTGTGGCTGCCCTGCTGGTGGTACACACAGCTGCCATGCTGGCCTCCCAGACAGAAGCCTTCGTCCCCATCTTCACCTATGGTGAACTCCAGAGGATGCAGGTAAGAGATCCCCACTGCCCACCTCACAGCCCCACTCAGCCCTGAAGTGGGTTAGTCTCACTGAAGCATGTGTGCTCCTTTCGTAAACCCATGTTAATTACCCATGCCAGTGACGGTATAAAGGACCAAGAACCAAGATGCCCCATGCTCCAGCCATCACTCTGGCTACCTCCACTCCTTCACCAGCATCACTCAGAGATGTCAGTGGCTCACATAAGCAACATCTTTCTCACTCCCGGCTCACCCTTTGGAGGAAATTTTTAATTAACAAACTAATAAATATTTACTGAGCTTCTCACAGTACAAGGGACCACCCTGGGTGATGGGCCAGGGCATGCACAAAAAACTCAGCACCCCCACCCACCATGTTCAAGGAGCAAGCTAGGGTGCCAAGACACAAACATATGAAAAATAATTAACAGTCGAAGACAGAGATGTCACAAGCAGGACATGATGAATTGCCCCATAAGTGATGCTGATGGTAAGCCCTCAGGTTCTGAGGAAGGAGCAATCACCAGGGCAGGAGCTGGTTTGGAAGCCTGCAGGAGAAAGGTGAGGCTCAGCACGGTGGGGGTCATGCAGTGGGTTTCCAAGGGGAGCCAGCACCTAGAGGTGGGAAGCAGCCTGGCATTCCATGCAGCAGTGGCAAAGCCTCCTCTTTAGAGCCCAGAACAAAGGCAGGCAGGCCTAATTGAACTCAGGCAGCAAGGCCTAAACGAAACTGGATTGTTGCCTCTGTCTCCCTGCTAACTTTTCCTTTAGACTTCAGAGGATTCCAAGTGTGTGTGCAGACATTTATTTCCCTTTAACCCAAAGAGATGAAGAAATGGGACTCTCATGCTCCCCCCTGTCTGAGACTGAATCTCCAACAGAGACAAACACATGAGTTAGCTCCCTGGGAGGTCTTAGGGCTCTGTAGCTCAGCCTGCCTGTGTCTGCACACACTGTGCAGGACAAGTTTGCACATTCCCAGAGAACAGAGCCCTTTTTGGAATCCAACTCTCCTTCTTCAGGGACAGATGCGGGAACTGGGGGAGCTGCCATAGCAGGCACTACACACCTTCCTCCAAGTTGGCTCAGTTCTCTGCAGCAGACAACTGACTATCCTGGAATTACCTTGTCTCGGGCCAGGCCCACAGCAGAACCCCAAGAGTGTCATTAGAGACACAAAAGGAATAGGGTGTATCTGGTCTCAGCACTCAGGGACCTGATAAGCAGCATACCAGGCAAGATTTGAGGCTGAACCAAAACTCAGTAGAATATGAACTAGTAAAATGGCAGCTAAAGGACACTTTGCATTAATCTGCTCGGTGCTTTCCCTCCTCATAATTGCCAAGCACCAGGATTTTTATGAAGACACTGCAAACTCCTTCCTCCGTAATTCATCTCCCTGTCTAGCCTCTTATAAATCACCTCCCAGGGACTCTGAGTTCCCAAGCCACCCCATGGTGCCCTTATAGGCTAGGCTGTCATGCTACCTTTTTTTTTTATAGGCTCTCTGCTAAGAAAGACACATTTTCACACTTAATATGCATGAAGGGTAGCCATTATTTTCAGCTTTTTAACTTAATTAACAGTAACAATCTGGGTACAATGTTTTAGCTACAAAGGAATGAATTCCTCTTCAAGTTGACCCATTTGTGGAAAACCCTATGGCCAGAACCTCAAGGCCACCCTCAAGCTACTGGGTGTCTGAGACCTCCCATGCAGGAGGCCCCTGGGGAGGGGATTCTTTCAGCTTGTGGGGAGCTCCGTGCAATTAGCACCTTGTGCAAATGGAGACAGGGGAGAAGACATCTGAGCAACTTGAGGGAGGATGGTTTGTGTAATTTTTCTGCTCTGCTCTTAGGAAAAAGAACGGAATAAAGGGCAAAAGAAATCCCTGAGTGTCTGGCAGAGGTCTGAGGAGCCAAGTGCTGTAGAGCTCATGGAACCTACTGAGGAAGAAGGAAATGAAGTGATCACGGTGAGCAGACGATGGGAATTGTGGGGAAAAATTCAGCGTAGGGCATGGCTCCCCCAGCCAGACCAGGAGGCAGGGTCCATGAACCACCGTCAGCCGGGGGCAGTCCTATGATACAGCAGTGAGCAAAACACCCAGGCAGAAAGCTCCATCCTAGGAGGGAGAGACAGTCACCAACAATGAGACAAATTGGTCATTTTTCTGGGGTGGTCATATTGGAAGCAAGACAAAGTGGTTGGATGTTAGAAATATTTTGGAGGTAGAAGCCCATAGGATTTGCTGAAAGAATGGACATATCGGCTCGGCGCCTATAGCTCAACCGGCTAAGGCGCCAGCCACGTACACCTAAAGTGGCAGGTTCGAATCCCCAGCCCGGACCCGCCAAACAACAATGACGGCTGCAACCAAAAAATAGCCGGGCGTTGTGGCGGGCGCCTGTGGTCCCAGCTACTTGGGAGGCGGAGGCAGGAGACTCGCTTGAGCCCAGGAGTTGGAGGTTGCTGTGAGCTGTAATGCCACGGCACTCTACCCAGGGGGACAGCTTGAGGCTCTGTCTCAAAAAAAAAAAAAAAAAGAATGGACATATCTAGATGCGAAAAAAGAGAATAGTAAAAACTGACTTTAAAGGTTTTGACTATAACAGCTAGAAGGGCAGATCTGCCACTAACTGAGACAGTTTAAGGCTGGGGTTGGATGCTGGTTGGTAGGAGGAAGACTGGGAAGTCAGACTGAAACTATGAACTCTGAGATGCTCTGGGCATCCAGATGGAGACATTGCACAACATGTGGACACACAAGTCTGGAGTTCAGGAGAGAGGTTCAGGGCTGGAGATGTAAATGTGGGAGTCATCAGTGACTGGATGGAGTTTCAAGCCAGGACTGGGTGAGCAAACTGAGGGAGCCCATGTGGACTTCTTCAGAGAAGAAGGCTCAGACCTATTTGTGGACACCTCCATGTAAAAGGGCCTGTGGTGTGAAAAGAATGATATCCAGAGAGATCGAGAGCCTTGCCAAGGTCACACAGGAGTTGGTACAGAGTCAGCCGGATTGCTGCCTCCTGCCTCCTCCCACTGGACAGTCAAGCCAGTAACTTTTCTAGACTGTCAAGATATGGCCCAGATAGTGACTTCAGTGCTGTCATAGTACTTAGCAGTGCTGTCACTGTACTCAGAGGGATGGGGCCCCTGTCCCTTCCTCATCCACTCTGACCTCCTTGGGCTCACAAAGAGGGAATTGGGAGTGAGTCCTGCAGCCGACAAGGGGAAGCACACTCATAATCACGCTCTACATTCACCTGAGGCAGAGTGTTAGGCACTAACTCCAAGGTTCCCATGGGACCTTTTGGGGAAGGTTTGGGGAGAGGTACCTGTCATGTCCTTTCCATCTCCCTAGAACCACGACACGAGGGGCTGGGAGGGCCTCCCTGGACTACCCAGTCCAGCCTCCCCATTATAAAGTGAGGACACAGCGGCTGAGAGAGAGGCAAAACTACAGCAAGAGCATGGCACAGGCAGGACTTGGACATTCTGAGCCCCCCAAGGTCGAAAAGGCCCATCTCCCACACCCAGCAAGCCTGGGGGGGTGGTGGGGAAGTAGACGCCATAGCAACTTCCCAGAAAGGCAGGGAATCTCAGAGGCTGCCAGCTAGTTTGTACAGCAAGATCAGTGGGCCCAGAAGCTATGAAGGGTGACAGAAAATCAATCTGCACCCTAGACTCTGCCTTGAGGCCACAACAACTCCTCTTGGTGGAGAGTCTCAAGATGGAGAAAGAAAAGGTAGCCTGGTGTCATGGGCACAGACCCTGGAGCCAGGCCCCCTGGGTATAACATCTTCCTCTGCTATTTATTGCCCCTTGTGGCCTTGGGCGAGTTACTCAATCTCTTTGTCCTCAGTTTCCTAATTTGCAAAAAGGGAACATTAATAGTCTGTACCTCATAGGACTATTAAGAGGCTTAACACATAAAGCACTTAGCATGACACCTGAATGCTAAGGTTCATGGATGTTAGCTATTATCACTGGAGGGGGATATCACAGGAGGGGGAGTGAGTCCCTCTCCATGTGAAAAGCCAGGTGAGGTTCCAGCCCACCACACCCTCCTGACCCAGCTTCCCCAGTAGAAGAGGTGTGTTGATTTCCCAGCAGGATTCTGTGACTTCTGGGATCCAGCTTTCTGGGGGGGAGGTGTCAGAATTCTCAGCCAGCCCTAGAGACCCAGATCAGCAAGAGTGGGTCCCTCCTGCCACCTGTAGGGCACCCAAGGCCTAACGGCCTCCTCCAAAACTCTCCCTTGTTAACTCTGCCTTATTTCACAGCTGACTGCTCCTGTGGAAATTGGAATGAGGATGAACTCCAGGCAGCTGGAAAAGTACCGGGCTGCCCTGGAAGGGTTGCTGAGCGAGGTGCTGGTGTCCACTCAGAATGGTACGGGCAGGGCAGAGTGTCTCTGCAGCTCCAGCCTGGCCTCCTCCCGCCCTGGGGTTAGCATTCCAGGAGTATGCCTGGGCAGGGTTTGAGGATGGTGATTTGCTTTTCTGCTTTGCACTTGAGGACATGAAGCTCTCTCCCTAGTACCTCAGTGTCTGCAAGGAGTCTAATCATAGAGGGGGTGGGCTCTGATGTTTGCTGGTGGCCTCAAAGTCCCCCAATTCTCCAGAGAGGGAGAAGAGTGTAATTCTCCCCAATTCTCCCCTTTTGGCAAAGGGCCACAACAAATCAACAGCAATCCCACCCAACCCTCCTTGCATTCCCTCCCAAAACAAGACCAAGACTGGGTGGTTGCTCTGGAGGAAACCCTGGTGAGATTTCTTTTCCCCATTCTTTCTGCAAATTGAAGTCCTAAGCCCCATTTGGCCTTGCCCAGTTCAAGGTCTGCATGAGTTACTTCTGCAAAGCTAGATCTCCTCTGACAAACAGCTACTAATTACTTCTCACAGTCCCCAGGAGAGGAGAGAGACCTGAGGAAGTATGGTAGGAGATGGTGAAACTGGGAGGTTAAATGACTTGCCCCAGGCTACAGACAGCTTCCCAACTCCAGCAAAACCTCCCACCTCCTAGGCCTCCAGCCTGCTCTGAATGCCCCCTCCTCCCTCCGACCTGCAGGCCGGTTTTAGAGGGCAGTTCGTAAGCAAACTTGCTGACAGTACTGAGCTGCAAACCTTTGCTTTTCCCTAGCAGCCAAGTGACAGCCCCACTCTGCAGAGATGGACAGATCTGGGAGCCCCTTCCCACCTGACTGAGGCTCTAGAAATTTGCACTGCCCACCAGCTGGGCGTGGAAGGAAAACACCCTTTCCAAAGCACATTCCCCTCTAGGAAATAAAGCATGAAATATACAGAAATGACTCTTATTTAATATTTTAATTTCTAAAGGGCAAACTCAGGTCACGAGGAAAGGGGAGGAAAAGTAAAGCTCAGAGGGAGCTGGCCAAAAATGGTACATATATTAGTGAAATGTGTGCTTTTTGTGAGTTCTAAGTTCAAATATTAATTCAGATCCAGGTAACTGGAAGATTCTCACTGGCCCTTCCAGCATAGGTGAGGAAACTGAAGCTCTGAAAGAGGGCATTTTTTGCCCCCCACGCTGAGTCAGTGGCAAAGCAATGACCAGAATTCAGGTCTCCTGAATCCTGGTCTGATTCCTGCTTGCTGGTTTTCTGTTTACTCATGTACTAGAGGTCTAATGGACCAAAGGATTTTAAGGTCTCTGCACTCAACCCCTTGCTGAGTAACTTCCAACCAGCCCTTTAACCTCAATGAGGCTTTGCAAAAGCAAGGTGGTAATATCCTCCTAGAGATCTGGGGACAGAGGTAGCAGCACAGAGCAAATTATTATTATTATTATTATCACCTTGTGGCTACATGCTCCAGCATCCACAGCAAAATTACACAGCCAACCCACTTATTTCTGCCTTCTAAACAAAACTGGATGGGGAATTTTATTCTAATTTAATTTTACATTAATGAATGTTCATTTATTTATAAACTGGGGCCATATAGGAACCACAGCTCGCTCCATCCATAGGTCACCAGCAATTAAACACAGTGACCATTCCATATTTTCACTCACCCCAATTGTTGCCGGGCCTTAGCCACAGAAAGTAGTTACCAGAACTAAACTCTAACCCTTACAAAGGACCTTTGTTTGTGGGGTGCTCTGAATTCTTCTGAAGAACACCTATACCTTCCATGGGATCCAGACCCTGCCACACTGCACAGTCACACACATTTCCGGGGCATCTACTGACCAACCCAAGGACAGCTGTAGGTTCTTAGGAAATGCTGCCAAGACACCAGTAATAAATGGAGAGAGGAGACTGCTGCAGGGGGCAGGTGAGGAGGAAAGACACAGAAATCTACAAAGCATGCTGCTAGGAAGAGCTGGATCCAACTCTTCTTGCCTCTCAGAGTTCCCCCTGCCAGTTTGACCCATTATCTATAACACAATCCCAGAAGCAAAAAAACAGGATTCTCATGCCCTCTGTAGGAATCTGCCCCTGTAGTGAGAACACCTTCCCCATCACCAGCAAGGGGTGCCCACTTCAGGGGGAGGGGGCCCAGAACCCGTTGGACAATTTTACCTGAGATCCTGAGTGTTGGAGAGCAGTGCCGAAATAGCCCCAATAAGGGAAGTGGAGCTCCTGGGAAATTTCACCCCCGGCGCTCTGTGTTTTTTAAAATAGGAATTGTTTCGGTGATCACAGGACCAGGGAAGGGTATAAGAGCTACCCTTTCTACAGAAAAGCCCCGTTCAAAGCTCAAGCACTACAGCCTGATGTCTCTGACCCTCACCCTGCAGCCTCTGATGTGCTTCTAGGTAATGAGCCACAACAGGGACCCAGCTACCACCCGCATCTGTATGCACGGTGCCCTGGCTGCTTGTTTAGATGTGTCGGCTCCTTTTCTCTCTCGTTTTCCTCCTCCTGCCACTGTTCAATTTCCCACAAGCGGCTCAAATAATTTGTTTCATCAATGAGTTCCTCCAGTTTCCAGGATGGCAAACTCGATTGCTTGTGGGACATGCACAGCCCTGGAAAAAATTAAAATTGTGAGGAGGATGAGGAGGATTCTGTGAATTGAGCCAAGATAAAATGACCGTGTTTTCACAAAATGGAAGAAAAGAGAGACACACTCCTGGTTAAAGCTACAGAAGGAGTGGGACCAGAAACCAGCCAGGATCAGAAGCAGGTTAGGTACCCAGAGTAACCAGCAGGGCAAGGACGCCGTTCCTCTTCACATCTTGCGAGGTTTACCCAGCAAAATCTCCAAGAATCTCTCCAGATCCCTGGCAATTACAGAGAGGTACAGATTACCCTATCTTCATTTGGAATGTACTTTATACTTAACAGGACCACAGGTAATTATAGGGCAACTTGAACCTAGCTTCACAAGATGGAGATGATGAGGTATTTTCTCAGTAAACACACTGGTGTGATTTTAGAATTACTGAGCTATGTGAATTTGCCATAAAATTGAATAGTTAAAAGCAAAGAGTAATTACCTGATATCTGCACGCTGTAATTTAGTATAATCTAATCACGGACAAAGACCAGAAGAAAATGTTCTGAAATCATTACATTTTTCTTCATACACAATTTGTTATTGACATGGGGTAACGTATTCCACATCTCTAAAGGAACTCTTACCCACCGATATCAAAGTGTGAGAGCTGTCAAAAGAGGGAGGGTTTTGTTTAATTTTTAAGAGATTAAGAAAAGCAGGTGGCATAACTGCCCATTAAACCCATTTTGGTCTGGGTGCACTGGCTCACGCCTGTAATCCCAGCACTCTGGGAGGCTGAGGTGGGAGAACTGCTTCCTGGAAAGTCAAAGGCTGCCCTGCATGTCCTCCTTTCCTGAGGTCAGGAATTTGAGATCAGCCTGAGCAAGAGTGAAATTCTGTCTCTACTAAAAATATAAAAATAGTCTGGCATGGTAATGCAAGTCTGTAGTTCCAGCTACTTGGGAGACTGAGGCAGGAGGATCATTTGAGCCCAGAAGTTTGAGGTTGCTGTGAGCTATGATGATGCCACTGCACTCTACCCAGAGCAACAGAGCAAGATTCTGTCAACCTCTCCCCCAAAACCCCATCATTCTGGCATTTCTCTAGGACTCTATCCCCTACATTGACACCCCCCAAACCTAGAAAGAGGAAAGGATGACCCCTTCTTCCATAAGTCCCTGACATGAAGCAACAGGAAAGTGGGTGCTCCTAGGTTCATTCCAGTCAAAATCTGAGGCACCTGCTTTTCAACCCAGTGCCCTGGCTCCACTGTGATGCCCCCTCCAGTGTGGCTTGAAGGAAGGCCTGAGAAGCCCAGAGGCCCTAATGAGGTGGATCAAGGACAAGTTTGTGGTCCCTGAGCAGCTTTGAAGATCTGACAAATGTCCTGTTCCAGAGCTTTTTGCAGGAGGAGGAGAATGGAAACCACTAAAAGATTTATGGCCATTATTATTATAAGGCTTGGCTGAGACAGACAGAGGTCAGCAGGCCGGAAGGGAGCGTGGCAGCCCTCCGGGAATCCAGAGCATGCTCCAAGCAGCCCTTCACCTCTGCTAAAAGTATGGATGTGGTTACTAAGTAGATTTAGACATTGGAGCTTGTTTTTCCTCTCTTGCCTTTAATAAATCAGGAAGAGCGACCACAGCCTGAGCTGCTAACCTTAAAAAAAAACCACAACGAAGTGTTGAAAAAGGAGGACATGCAGGGCAGCCTTTGACTTTGCAATATCGCCCTTTTCTTTAAAATAGGTATTCCCAGCTTGGACAGGCTCAGCAGGAGCACCATGCTGAAGATACAGAAAAGCAGACTGAAGGGCCCAAGGGCCTTGTGGACAGCTCCCCGGACAGCTCCTGAAGGGCCAGCAGCCTCAAAGAAACACTGAGACAGAACCCTTCTGAGGGGCAGAGAGCACGTGGACGAAAGTAAAAAGCCAAAACCCAACTTTACTAAACAAGGTAAAAAGGCCATGGGGTGGAGAATATTAATGTAAGACATGGAGGGATATAAATCCAGGAAAGGAGTGAGGTTGAAGCAGGAAGTTCAGGTAGAAAATGGAAAGGCCAAGACCTGGGAGGAAAGACTAACTTGTGAGTTTCCTCTCAGAGGGGTAAGGGAAGCATTGATCAGCAAATACACAGTAAGTGGTCCAGGACCTGGGTACCTGCTGACACGGAAAGGCCTGTTGGACCCAGCAGGACAAGGCCATCAACAGTCAGAAGCCACTCTGGAGGCAGAGGTCGACTTTGGTTTGGCAAATGGCCATAGCTGCAAACATGATGGGTTCTATGCTGGAGGGAAGACAGAGGGCTCAGGGGAAGAGGCTGGGATTTGGCCCCAGGTGTTGAGTAGCAGCAACATCGGTCCCAAACACCGGGGAGGCTGACAAAGCCCACACATATACCACCGCTGGGGGTGGCCCTAGTTCAGTCCATATTTTTAAATTGCCCTGAGATCCCTTGTGCTAAAATAGATCATAACTCTATGAAATGCTGTAATGTTAACTTTGTTTAAACATTAGTTTCAAGCCCTCTTAGAATACATAGGGCCAGTATTCATGCCAAAAGGCTCATTCTTTATATATTGAACTGCACAGCTGCAAGGAGTTGCACAAATGTTACCAACTCATTTGTCATGCAAACAGTGCTTCAGAAAGAAATAAAATACTATTATGTGGTATATGTGTTAGGCAATCACTATATCAAATTCATGGCATTCCGTGCAAACACAGGCAGAGAAAAGGAAAACAACACTTGGTGAGAGAAATCGCACCACATGGGAGCAGCTAAGTCCGGGAGATGGGGAGGCTAACACTAGAAGCCTGACCAAGCTGAGGCTGTAATTTTCCCAGAAATTGTGGCCAGTGTTGAATACCCTTGAGGTAGAGCAAGTGGCAGGAATGCAAAACCACAAGACCTGAGCATTGCTCAGGGTGCTGGGGAGGGGAAAGACAAGATGGGGCTGTTGGGTAAAGCTACAGGGAGATGCCAGGGAGGAGGTAGGAGAGAACAGACCCGGGAGAGGGCTAGAAACCAACTGGAATCTACCAGGCTGGCAATAAATGTTTGGGAAAGGGATGTGAAAGCAATACAAAGAGAAGGAGAGGGGTGTGAAGGAAGACCATGAACTTATAGTTTATTTCCATTTGCCATAACTTCCTTTGCTTCCCTTAGGGGTTTCCTGGTAAAAACCTTTGTGTAGTGAAATCACCTACCCCATGGGAGGCCCTACACAGCAATGACAAAGATAAAGGTTAGGTATAAACACATATGTGCATGTGCCAGGCATTGTCCTAAATACCTTACACAAACTACCTCTTCTAATCTTCATAGCAACCCTACTGAGGTTTACTGGCAAACAGGCCAGAAACATTAATTGGATATGCTCACACATCTAATAGTTGTGGTATTGGGATTTAAAATTGAACTGTCTGGCTCCAAAGCCCACATCCTAAACCGCAAGTGATGGCAAGACTGTGGGGCTCTGGGTTCTTCCCTACCCATCGCTTCTTATGAAAATCACACTGTGTAGCCACAGGGCCTCCTCCAAGAAACCCAACTACACACTTTTGGTTCTTCCCCCTTCACAATGAATGTGTTGTACCCTGCAGGTTGAAGCTCCTTAAAGGCCAGTTTCTGTCACAGGAGTCAGGCCCCGCACCCAGTTGGTGCTCAATGTCAGCAGAATGAACCGGCCCCAAATCAGAGACAGGGTCTCGGAGCATGCCTAGGGTCTACTCCAGGACCCAAATAAAACCTGATCACACATAGGTCTCCAAGCACAGACGAGGATGATCGTGTTTCCCACTTATGGCAGTGGCTTGTCTTTCACCATTAAGCATTTCACCCATTAAATCAACATGACTACTTATTAAATGCTTACCACGTGCCAAGGACTGTGCTAGGGTAGGAGTATTCTAAAATAACTACTGCTTGGTCTAACAAACGTAGAGAAGGGGAATAGTGGAGCAAGAAGGGACATTTAAAAATAAAAGAATAATATCTGGCCTCCACGCCCTGGCAGCTCTGAAAGCGAGTCAGACCTCCTCAAAATGGCCGACCCATCGGCCAAGCGCAGGCCTTCCCAACATGGCGGCCTCCGCCGACCTTCCCATCATGGCGCGGGGCCCCGCCCGCTCCGCCGCGGTTGCCGAAGGGAGCAGTTCCGGGTGCGGTACGCGCCGGGGGCGGGCGGGGGGCGGTGTCCTGGCCATGGCCGGCCTGTCGGACCTGGAGCTGCGGCGGGAGCTGCAGGCCCTGGGCTTCCAGCCAGGACCCATCACCGACACCACTCGGGATGTCTACCGCAACAAGCTGCGCCGCCTGCGGGGCGAGGCCCGGGCGCGGGGCGAGGAGCGGCTGCGGGAGGAGGCCCGGGCGCGGGGCGAGGAGAGGCTGCGGGAGGAGGCCCGGCTGCGCGAGGGGTCCCGGCTACGCGAGGAGGCGCCGCTCCGCGCTGGACCCGCGGTGGGCTCTCTGCGGACGGAGCCCTGGCTCCCTCAGCCGGCCTCGGGATCGGCCTGCGCGACCTCAGGGGCCTACGGCGACCTCGGGGCCTCCGCGGCTTCCTGGGTAGGGAGCCGCGGCCTCGCCTATTCCGCCCGCCTTACGCCGCTCAGGCGCCGCGCCTCGGTGCGGGGCAGCTCTGAGGAGGACGAGGACGCCCGGACGCTCGACCGGGCGGCGCAGGGCCAGGGTCTCGCTGCCCGCCGCTGGTGGGCCGCGTCCCCCGCCCCGACAAGGCCACCCTCCTCCCTCCTCGGCCCCGACCCGCGCCCAGGCCTAAGGGTTACGCGAGCGGGCCCTGCCGGCGCGGCGCGGGCGCGGCCCGAGGTGGGGCGGCGGCTGGAGCGCTGCCTGTCGCGGCTCCTGCTCTGGGCCAGTGTGGGGCTGCTGTTCGTCTTCCTGGGCATCCTCTGGGTGAAGATGGGCAAGCCCTCGGCGCCACAGGAGGCAGAGGACAACAGTACGTCCCGGGCTGGCGCTGGGGAGGGCCCTGGGGGCGCGTGTGTCCGCCGGGACGACCTCCTGTTCTCAGCGCCAGGCCTCACGCTCCTGGCCTTGTCAGCTGCCTCTGCCTTCTCCTCTCCAGACCTTCACTTTCCTTTTTCCAACTGTGAGAAGTGAGGGCCAGGGCTCTTACATCTGCACTAAGTTTTGCCTTCACTTTCTCCTGTTCTCTTTTTCTGCCCTAGCCCTCCCTTCTAATGTCTCCCTTTCACCACACGCTGGGAGCAGTCTTCATCTGCAGTCACATTTCCCCCAACCTCTGGTTTTCTCTCTGGAGAGAAAGCCACACCTCCCTCTAACAGGTCCTCCCCTCCCTTTTCAGTTCTTGCCTTTTCATCTTTTCCTAACATGCTAGGGCCCACAGCGTGGATCTAGTGGGATCCAAGCTTTGCAGCCAAAAAGGCCATGCTCCACTTCTTTGGACCACAGGGCCCTAATTTTTTGTCAAAAGATTATACTAGCCCTGCCTGTGAGACAAGTGTTTAAGAACATTTTGAAGAGTTGAAAAGATACCAACAGGAGGTGTTGCTTATCATTGCTTGTAGCATCCTCATGGAGTGTAAGAGAAGGTCTGTGATTCAAGGATGCTCCTGGCCATCCTTCTGTCCACACTTACTACATGATTAAACATGCCAATGAGAAGCCTGCAGGATACAGTATGTCTCCTGACAATTTGTGTGTTTTCTAAAATGGAAGTTTGCCTCTCCAGTAACTCTGAGCTCTAGTCTAACAGAAAGTAGCATAGAGGTCATTTGATTATACATTTAGGTATAAAGTGACACTGTAGTTCACCAGCTTTTACTGTCATTTGCAAAGCATGAATATGATTAATGCTGTTCCCAGACTTGAGCCAAGGCCACGTTTCCATGCCTAGCAGGAGCAACCAAAATACAGAAAAAGCTAAATTATCTTTTAGCTATTATGGCAGAAGGATATTTGGGTGTGTACAAGTCTGTAAGGATGGGGATCATAGACTTGTGCAGACACCCAGGTAATGTCTCCACTGTGAGAGCAGTTTATCAACTATGTGAATAGTCTATAGACCTACTAGAGAAATTAAGCAGACCTGAGAGTGTCAAGGCACTGTAGGTACTGTAACTACACTGGCAATATCAAATAGTACCACATTCAAACTCACTGCTGAGATGCTTTAAGACACAGTTCTAGGATATATACTGGGAGTTACATGGAGTTCCCCTCCCTTGATGATATTATTCCTTCCTGTTTAATATATAACTTTTTATAGTTTATAAAACTTATATATGTTCTCTTGTTTGAGCCTAACTTCCAGAGTTAAGCAGGGATGGCCCATTTGATCCCATTTCATAGATGAGGAAACAATGTTGGTTGAGTTGCCCAAGAACCTTTGACTGATCATTTTTCAGCTGGGATAAGGACCCAGCTATCTTAATTCCTAATCCAGGATTTAGAAATCCTTACATTTTACTGTCTGCGTTTTTCAAGTGCTTATTTAAATGACACCTTTCTGATCCCCACCCTTGGGCTGGTAATGTTTTATTCCCCCTGAATTTTGAGAGTGGTCTCTTTATTCTTTTCTTCAACCTGCACTTTTAATTTCCTCTGTGTTTCTTTTCTTGATCTCAGTGAAATTATTGCCAGTGGACTGTGACAGAAAAACAGATGAGGTGAGTTTGAGTTTCTCTGGCTTTTATTATTCCTTCTGAGGATATTAGCCTCCATCAGGAGGTAAACTTCCCCAGAAAAACAACAGGATTATTTTCAGGGGGTACTTCCTGTAATGTACCAGAATCACATTGTGTTCTGTGATGTTTGTGTCAGATTTAATTGTGACAATGAAAGAGTACTTGAAATGTGGAAAATGAGCTCCCAGATCCAACCCCTGGGCTTGTTGTGGAAGCTCTCCCATCAGTTGTAGCATCAGGGACTTTGATCTTCTACCTAAAGCCAATCTAGGGGGATGCAGTAGGTTGTTGCGGAAGGACCTCTCAAGCTCCCTTGCATTGGAAGGGATGATTATTTTTAAGTATCAGGAGGTCAAGTTCTGAATTCTACCTTCTCTTTGGTCGTATATCTATGGCTCCGAAAATAGTGTTCCGATTTGAAATAGCATAGGAGTTTGTTTGAAACACATCTTAAGTGGAATTAGCTCTCTTAGTCTCTGTTTATATTTGTTTTATGAAGCTCTGACATTCCCTACAAATAATATTTGGGGAAGGCAAGCAGTCCCATCCATTCATGAATCACGAAAATAGCATTAACTCATACTGGTGATAGTCTGGAGAAGATACGAGGCAATAAATTGTCAGGTCATAAATCCTACCAGGAGAAGTCTTGTGCTGCCAGAGGGCATGACTTAGTAGTCTAATTATTAAGTGTGCCTTGCCAGGCCTCCTGAACCCTTAGTTAACATCCCCGGTAGCCCAGAGGCCAGGGAAGAAATGATGCATGGTCAACCAGACACCCCTGCGTTGACTCTTACATAAGGCTCATGAAGGGGCATCCTGGTGCAGATAACTGGTTTTATTTCTCATTGGTTTCTGGTGTATCATAGTTGGGGATGTTTTATTACATTCGTTTATTGCATTCACCCACCAGATATCTTTCTTTCCTAATTGTTTTGTGAAAACAGGTCCATAATAAGTCTAATCTGCCTTCTATCATAAAAACTGTAGTTGGCTCGGCGCCTGTGGCTCAAGCGGCTAAGGCGCCAGCCACATACACCTAAGGTGGCGGGTTTGAATCCAGCCTGACCCGCCAAATAACAATAATATCTGCAACCAAAAAAATAGCCCATTGTGGCGGGCGCCTGTGGTCCCAGCTACTTGGGAGGCTGAGGCAGGAGACTCGCTTGAGCCCAGGAGTTGGAGGTTGCTGTGAGCATGATGCCATGGCACTCTACCCAGGGGGATAGCTTGAGGCTCCGTCTCAAAAAAAAAAAAAAAAAAAAAAAGAATAAAAACTGTAGTTGATGATTAGAGGAAGTAGCCCCCAAACACAAGCAACCAGAGGGGAAACTAGAATTTCAAAGACTAAAAATAGAGGCTTGGCGCCTGTGGCTCAAGCGGCTAAGGCGCCAGCCACATACACCTAAGGTGGCGGGTTCGAATCCCCAGCCCGGGCCCGCCAAACAACAATGATGGCTGCAACCAAAAATGGCCAGGCGTTGTGGCGGGCGCCTGTGGTCCCAGCTACTTGGGAGGCTGAGGCAGGAGACTCGCTTGAGCCCAGGAGTTGGAGGTTGCTGTGAGCATGATGCCATGGCACTCTACCCAGGGGGATAGCTTGAGGCTCCGTCTCAAAAAAAAAAAAAAAGACTAAAAATAAAAAAAGGGAAAAGTAAATTTCTATAAGACTTCTCTGGTGCTGTTAGTTTTGTCTTTTAATTAGAAAAGGGTTCCTTGGTTTCTATTCCTTGGTTCTTCACATCTTTAAATGTATCACTCAGCAAATGATGCATTTGCTCCCTGGCCCTCAGAGCTGGACACACTCACACCCCACTTAAGTGAGTGAGCCCAGATAGGTACCCTTCAGGTCCTTGGTAAAGATGTGCCCAGTGAGCAGACAGTGTCCAGCACCTGCCAGGAAGATCTCTGATACTTGTAACCATCCAGACCTGCATCAGAGCACTGAAAAAGCAGGGTCTCTATGCAGGTTTTATTAAGCTGAGATTTCATGGTGTATCCTTGATCTTTATGGAGGATGGACACAGAGTACACGGGTTGGGGCATGCTTCTTGGCTTTGGTGAGGCTGTTGCTAAAAGTCTCCTTTTTTGTGTAGCTCCCTGCTCACTGAGAACATGGGCAGGCATTTCTGTTTTAGATATGTGCTTTTTCCCTTTCAGCCATTGAACACTGTGACACTTGTGTTTTTCTTTTCTGCCTTTGTGCTGCCGAAAATGTGGGGACAGGTTGGGAGTGGGTGTGTTGTCTTAATCAGGCCGTCTCCTTGTCTGGTACCTTCTGTCCTCCTGTTTCCTTTAGGTGGTGTGAGCCTATGCTGAGTGCTTTGTGTGTGAATTCACACTGAATCCTCACCACAGTTCTTATTCAGATGAAGGCACTGAGGTTGTACCTAAAGGGGAAGACAAGATGGCAGCCACTGACATGCTATCCTGTCCCCTCCAAGCTTGGAAAACTCTGACAGCAGCTCCTCTGCCCTCTGAGGAAGCTGGCCTATTGCATTTGACCTCCAACCACATTACCTCTGCTCCACGGCCCTCTTACTTGCCTTTATTCTGGAGTTGCTGTGGGGCAGAGGCAGGAGCTCCTGGGATGTAGCCACTTAGTTACTATGTCAGCTTTTAGCTCTGCCTCCACTTTTATAGTGTCCTTCTCTGACAGCTAGCCTGGATCTATCAACTTGTGCCCTAGGTCCAGCATTTTGCAGAATTTCTATTTTTTAGAACTATGAGCTGTTTCTTGCTGTGTAATACTTGACAGTATGGCTGGAGAGGTAAAAATAGATAGACCACCCCCCTCTTCTTTACTGACCAGTTGTTTTGTGCCTTTTCAGTTCTGTCAGGCCAAGCAGAAGGCGGCCTTGCTGGAGCTGCTGCACGAACTATACAACTTCCTGGCCATCCAAGCAGGTAAGTAGGTTGTAGAAGTCCTGAGATTCCTCTTGTGTGAGATGTGGGCTGCTGGCCTGATCAGTCAGGCTGATTAGTTAGTCCCGGTGGCCGGCAGGCACCTGAGATGTTCCATGGTTGTCTCCCTGAAGATATATTTAAAAGCCGAACCTTCGGGTGGCACCTGTGGCTCAAAGGAGTAGAGTGCCGGCCCCATATACTGGAGTTGGCAGGTGCAAACCCGGCCCCAGCCAAAAACTGCAAAAAGAAAAAAAAAAAAGCCAAACCTTGCCTTCCCACTTCCCCATTCAGACACCTTTGATAAGCTTTGTGTTTAGGTAAGACACTTTTGGTTCTTGTTCCTGTTTAAAGGCTCCAGGGTCCTGCCATGTACATGGACATTTCAGTAGATATTCTTTCTTCTTGGGGATGCCCACTACCTAATGCTTTGGGCTCTGTGTTAGCACTGGAAGGGGCCAGGCCCCAGGTCTTATGAGAGTCTGTGTGAATCTCCCTGAATCAGATGGTCAGCCAGACTGGGAGAAGTATCTCACCTGTGCAGGAAGTAGGTGATCTGCATGGTATGCCCTGGTATCATATCTGGTCCCGATCTCCCTGTCTGGCTGTAGGCACTGATTCTGTCAGGGCCTTTGTCTCCCCATCTGATCAGGTGATCTTGGTTCTGTCTCTTCTCTACAAAAAGAAATCAGTGCTGTCCTCTAGAGGAGGGCATTGTCAGCAACCCCACAAAATGCCCTCTGAAAACTCATGCAGAAGGGTCTCCTATTTCATGTAGTTTTTTGAGGCCAGAGAGGTCACCTTCGTTATTGTGTTCTCACCCCACCCCTGGCATCTAGCAGACTCTCAAAATCACTTGCTCTGAACATAGAATGTCTAGGGCTTATGCCTTGTGTTAAATAGACTTGGCACAAATGCCACACAGAGTAAGTAGTTGGTTCAGTTTTAAGAGATGTTCAAGAGATGCCCCTCACCTATGAGGTCAGAGGACAGGCCTTAGGCTTGTAAGGGCAGCCCTTGTCTAATGTTTCACTGGGAAGTAAGGTTGAATGGGTCCTCAGGGTCAATCTTGAAGGCATCAGCTCTGTTGCTTCCTCCTTTTTGAAGATGGGAGATTGAAGATGTACAGGGAATTATCTGCAAGCACTCAGAGGAGAAGCAGAAGTTGGTCCCTATTCACAGTGTCACATCATCATGGGAATTCCTCTGTATGGCCTGGGTGTTTTGGGATGTAAATTCTGGATGTTCCAAACCTTTGCATCTCTCTTGAGGTCCTAGACCAATAACATCAGCATCATCTGGGAGCTTATTAGAAATGTAGACTCTCAGGTCCCATCCCAGACCCACTGAATCAGAGTCTATATTTTAGCAAGATCCTCAGGGGATTTGTGTGTGCCCTAAAGTTGAGAAGCTTTGCCCTAAACTAGGTCCTAGTAGATATTTCTCCTCTATGCCAACCTCCATATATGGTCCTGGCTTATGTCATCAAGGGCTTTGTCACCTGTTGCCCTCTGACATGCCTGGTAGAGGCAGCCCTAAAGGTATAAGTCTCACTAGGACAGGAGTGTGGGCTTTCTGCAAGGTCACGCTCCCTCACCCCCACCTCCTGTTCTGTATCAGCTATGGGCTGGGCACTGTGCTGGCCTTCATAAGATGTGAGGTGATTCATTGGGTGCTGTAAGATACAATTAGGTGAGAACCAAGAGGTGAGAAGCTCTAGGAGGTCTAATTCCTAGAGCAATCCAGGAAGTAGCATCTGTGGCAGGCCAAGAAGCCTGGGTAGAATTGGTTATGGGGGGTGGGGCGGTAAGCTGAAGAGGCAGGAAATTACAGGTCAAGGATGGGAAGCAGCATCTTCCTCTCAAAGGAAACAAAGAGGGAATGACATTTAGAGATGTTGGTTGTGTTCTGCTATGGATAGCTGTGGTGTTGAGCTATCAGAGCTTGATCCAGTAAGCAGTGAAGGTCAGGGAGACTTTAAGCAGGGGAGTGATGTGCTGAGAGTTAGGTACCAGGAAAGCAAATGCAGCAGTAGCTTGAGTGGTACAGTGTCATTTAAGCAAAATGATTGTAAAGCTTTATTGACAAAACAAGTGGATTGGAAAGGAGATGGGAAGAATCCAATCAGGAGGCCACTGAGGTGGTCCAGGCAGGCCTCACTAGGGCAGTGATAGTCCAGGTAGGGGTGGTAGGATACTAACAGCCAACTTGGTCTTGAGGAACCCAAAGGGTTAAGATCAACTTTGAAGGAGGAGGTTTTGGCTGTGTTGGAGGTAGGAGAACAGGCTTCAGTTCATTCTCAAAAATTTTTAATACTACCTTCAGCTACTCCACCTCCCCCCACGCCACCCCAGCACACGTACACACAGAGAGTAGCCATCTAAAGGCCCCCAGACTATACTAGGTCAAGAGTAGTTGGGCCATGCATGAGTGTTAGGGATGTTTTGCTTGCCTGGCCCTGTACTTTCCCTACCCTCAGAAGTCTAGTCAACCCACAGGAAACAGCATATGGCTGTTAAACCATAGCATGTGATAAAGAGTTATAGGGTACCAAGTTGGAGCAGTTTCACCAAACTAGAGGCCGTCATGGGCTGGAGGCTTCCCAGAGGAGGGGCCCCTTGAACTGGGCCTCCAGGGCTGGAAAGACTAAGGGGGAGGCTCCTGGCTCCATCCTATGGGTTACTGAGAGGGAGCTTTCCCTTGACATGCCATGCTAAGGCTCCCTGCACAAAATGGCTTCCACGGGGCCATTTTGAACATCTCTTCCTAGGACCCCTCAAAACAACGGCTCTAGCATTCTAGGTCACCTGCCTATGTTGTGAGTCACAGTCCCTGTGGTGCCCACAGCCTCCCTGCCTTTCTTTTTTCCCAGGCTGTGTTTATTTATAGTGCCATTCCAGTATCTTCCAAAGGTATCTATCTGATCCCTTTAGGGATCAATTGCCAACAGACCTTGGTATTGGGCAGCTTTTTAGTCATTTAATGCAAATCGCCACACTGCTTTGCAGGTCAGGTTTTAATGATCTGGAATTGATCCAAGCTAAGTGGCTTTTGATCTTGCTGCAGAGTGAAGATGCCCCACAGAAGCCAGGGAGCTGCCAGGCCACATCTCCTTATTAGAGCTGATGGCTTGATTCTTCCAGCATTTTTAGTCTATTTCAGAAAGATTTTTTTTTTTTTTTACCTCTTCTTTGTGTTTGAATGTGTGTTCTTTATCTTCTAGGTAATTTCGAGTGTGGAAATCCAGAGAAGCTAAAAAGTAAATGCATTCCTGTCATGGAGGCCCAGGAATACATAGCAGTAAGTAGGCCTTGGTGCTTATCCATTCCCAGGAGAGCTTGCTGCTTTCATATTGATCTTTCAAGCCCTACAGGTTTTTTTCTCTTTATGTTTTATGTTTGCTTTATGGCTCCCCCCCCCCTTTTTTTTTTTTTTTTAACTTAGTGGAGTGTTAGGCTACCTAAAGTTAAGGCAGTCAGTCATGGTGGTGACTATGCCCAAAGTCAGGCCTGGTATATGGGACAGGTGGGGCTTACTCTTAAGCAGCTGGCCAGTCATTGCAGGCTGCCCCTTCTTTAATGGGCCTCTTGCTGGCTCCTTCTTTGGTTCACTTTCCTCTCTGCAGCTTTCAGGGTTCACATTTACTATCCATTCTTTCCCCTTATGATTACCATTCACACTACTCAGGGTCCATTTGATATTTTGTGTGGTCTCAAAATGGTAGAATTATGGAACTTTGGCGTTGGCAAGAACCGTGGGGATCATTTAGTTCCATTTTCATTTCACAGATGAAGAAACTGAGGCCTAGAGGGGGTCACAGACTTATTCGAGGCCACATACTTGAGACAGGTGGCCAGGCCTCCTATCCCCAATTCCAGTGCTCTTTTTCATTTTGCCCCAAGATTAGTTGCCGGCTTTCTGGCCTAAAGCTTGGTCCTCAAGGAAATTATATTCTTTTGGCTGCCCCAGAGCTGCATTGTTTTCCTGTGTGTGCTTCTGCATTACCTCCTCCAGTTACAGCTTCTTCCCTGGCTTTCATCAACACCAGATTTCCTTCCTGCTAGTTTGCTGTGCATTTAGTGGAACGGAGCTGTGGGGATGTAGAAGGCATGGGAGAGGGCTTCCTTAATCCAGCAACAGAATAATGTTCCAGTTGCTCTGCCCAGATGCAGAACTAATCTTCTCCTGTGCCCTCCCACAGAATGTGACCAGCAGCTCCTCTGCCAAGTTTGAAGCTGCTCTGACCTGGATACTGAGCAGTAACAAGGACGTGGGCATCTGGTGAGTGTGGTCAAAGCAGCACAAGAGGGCAGCACAGCATGGGCCCTTGCAGCCACTGTCCTTGCATGTCAGCTGACTCTGGTGCTCTGACAGAGGTATCTCAGGTCTGCAGCTAGAGGCCAGGTCTCCCAGCTGATTTGTGTGGGCTAGGTTTGAAACTGGACAACAGAAAGAAGAAGCATTTGGAATGTGGTGTAAAGGACGAGTTTCAAGATGAGACAGAAAATCCAGGTGTTAGGATGATCACCAGTGTTCCAGCTAAATCTTGTTTCAAGTAACTCAGTCCTTACCTTTACAATTCACTGACTTCAGATGGCTTGCTGGAGAAGGCATTTTTCTGTATTTCCTCACCTCCAGTGTTAGTTTCCATTTGTAAAAGAAATGATTTTATATGTTGGTTTTACTCAGTATGGAGATTGCATATGGAAATACTGAATTTGATTCTGACCAGGCAATTTCTGCCTTATTTTTATCACTGGTGAGCACTGTTAGCAGAGATAGCTAGAGCCCTTTCATAAGGCTAAAAAGCCCAATCTAACTGTTCAGCCCAGGGGGAGGGGCATACCCTGACAGCCAGAGAGCCCCAAGAGGCCTGTCCTCTGCCGCCAGAGCAGGCATCACACAGCCCCTCCCCACTTCTCAGTGTTTGTCAGGATCTCTGTTCAGGTTACAGCTCTTGATATTAAAACACACTGTAGGGTTTTGTTCTCTTCCTCTCTAATCCACCCAAATTACTAATTCCATCAGCAGTGCATCCAGCAGAAGCCCCTCAGGCAGCACAACCTAAAGCTTAATAACTGGATGCATAGCACAGTAAAAATTCGTTGGCTTAAAAAAAAGCTGCCCGAGTGGCTGAGTGATTTTCCTGTGTTAGAAGAGGCAAGGGAGAATACGGATTTCATCCTCAGCAGCGTTCACTGAAGCTGCTAACACAAAAGAAGGATGACACCCACCTTTTCATATTGGGGAATGCTGCCTAGGGAGTGACTGAGCCACTCGGCTGGCCGGTGCTAAAGTGGGTCGTGAGAAATGGGGACACTTTGGATGCCAACCATTCAATGTGCTGCTTCTAGAACATGATATTACCCTGGGTCACCTAGCTGGAAGAAGGTTTAGGCATTAGTGTCCCCACAGGCCCTGACATTGCCTCATTGGGGAGACCAGGGTGGAGGTATATGGCAGGGGTCTGGTCTCAGAGAGCCTGGTGGTTTTCATTCCCCGTGAACCTTATGGATGCCCCATGATCTTTACACTTAAACAGCTTATGTGCCTCCTCGTCACGGAGGAAAAGCACAACCTCCTGGAATCTGTCTTCAGTTCTTGCCACGCAATTGCAAAGCTAGTGATTCAGTAAACATTTCCATTTCTCTATGCTGGGAGGTGGGAATCCAATTTACAGTTTAATCTTCTCCACGCTGAGAGAGGTTGTCAAAGACCTGACAGAGGGGGACGTCACTTTAACGGTAGGGGATCAAGCCTGCTGACTTCTTCAGAGCTTTATTCTTTCTAAGTAACCAACATGGGAAATTTCTGGAAAGAGTGCAACTAGGATAGAATAGGATACCAAACCTATTCTATAAGCAAGTAGCAGACTTGAGACCCCCTCCTTCCTTTATCGCCTCCTGTTTGAAGTGGGCTTTATACTGCAGCTCCTCTGGGCTTTTGAATATGTTTAGAGCCCTGTGTCCTGTTTCAGGTTGAAGGGGGAAGACCAGTCTGAATTGGTGACGACTGTGGACAAGGTAGTCTGCCTGGAATCTGCCCGCCCCCGTATGGGTGTTGGCTGCCGACTAAGCCGCGCCCTGCTCACTGCTGTCACCAACGTGCTCATCTTCTTCTGGTGTAAGTCCTCAGCCACCTTCCCTCCCCTTCCATGCAGTTAGGTGCGCTCCTAGGCATGAGTGATGAGCTATAGAAATTCCAGGCCTGGAGGGATCATTTCTGTCTAGTAAACCTAAGATCTGTCTAATAAAACAGAGGAGATGAACAAGTCAGCCTCTGCCCTAGGTTGTTTTTACCTTTGGAGATTGGTGGCAGGAGTGTGAGGATAACTAGAAAATGTCCTTGAATTAAGGAAGGGGACTGAGTGGGACGGTCTGGGCAAGAGCCAGGCATCACCCCTTTGGGCAGCTCCTCAAGGATCCTGGCAGGTAGACTGCCTCAGATCAGGAGGCACAGTGGGGGCTTGGTCTAATTTTATTTCCTGAAAAATATAAACATCTCCTGGAGAGTTACAGATACCTGATGAAAGTAGGAAGGACCCAGGGTGCTGGGCTGAAAAAGAGAGCACAGGTCTTATCTCCTAACATCAGGGGCCGCCTTTGAGCAAAGACCTCAGGGTGTCTCTGAAAGGGAAAGGCCAAGTCACAGAAACCGCTGCTGGCTCTCCAGAGATAGCAAGCAAGCTACAAATCGTAGACCATCTTCATATGCACACAGCTCCCTCCCCCAAGCCATCAGGCATAGAAATCATTATCGGCAGCAGCATCTTAGAATATAAAGGGTCCCTGGCATGTATATATGTATGAAACACTGCATTCTGGTTCACAAGGGAGGAGATGAAAGCCCCAGAATGAGGTTGGGAGGAGCTGAAATCTGGACGGCTGGGGTTGCCTCTCTGGTGACAGCCGGTGGGAGGAGGATGATCACTTAATAGCCTGTCCTCCCTTTGCCTGTCTGTGTTCTCTGTTTCCTTCACGCTAGCCTTGTGCCTGATGCACAGTAGGCACTCCGATCACACTGGCAGATCCCCCACATCCTCCAGCACAGCATCTTGCCTATAGTGAGACCCATCAAGTATCTGAGCCACCAAAGGAGATGTGAGGGGTTAATGATGTTTTGTTCCCTCACAGGCTTGGCTTTTTTGTGGGGGCTCCTGATTCTCCTGAGATATCGGTGGCGGAAGTTAGAAGAGGAGGAACAAGCCATGTATGAGATGGTGAAGAAGATTATAGGTGCGTGGCCCCCTGGCAAAAGGGCTGCCTAACAACTGCCAGGTCCTTGCCCTAAACAGTATGCTCTCTCCTTCAGATGTGGTCCAGGACCATTATGTGGACTGGGAACAGGACATGGAGCGCTACCCATATGTGGGCATCCTGCATGTACGTGACACCCTGATCCCACCACAGAGCCGGTGAGTCCTCCCTGGTTGGGATTGCTGGGGGTAGGGTGAGGTGAGGTGTGACCCCACTGACCTCGAACTCCACAAAGGAAGCCCAGAGCCTCCTGATAGTCATCAATAGAGGGCAGCTCAGCCCCCAAGGACACACCTCCTGCAGATCTTATGGCAGAATGAGCTAGACATGATCCTACTCCTTGGTACAGATAATGCTGTTAGTGGTGATAACAATTGGGATGCTTTAGGTTGCAAGTTATAGAATTCTCTTCCCTCAGTAGCTTGAGCAGTGAAGGTTCTATTGTGTTTCCATACATGGAAGTCCAAAGTAGTATGAGCTCCAGGCACAGAACTGCAGATCTCTGGTTCCATTTATTTGTGGTTCTCATGGTCACAAGACAGTGGCCAACAGCAGCTACAGCAATGTCTGCCTTGTCACAGCAAGTAGGGGAGAAGTAGGCTTCATGTTGCTCTTACAAGCAAGAGAAAACACTCCTGGTAGCCTCCAGTGACACACTCCTTGAGGCTCCATTGGCCAGAGTTGATTATTTGTCTATTTGTGAATCAATCACTGTTCAAGGAGGAAGAGAATTTCAAACTTTTTTAACCATGGCCCACAGTCAGAAACACATACTACCTACAATCTAATAGTCCAGTTCCTGCTGATATATGCACATACTCACACATGTGCATGGAATTGAAAGTAAAGTTACACAATGGTGAATGGGGTCAGCTTCCAAGGCATAGGGCATCATGGGAAGTGGTGGCCAGGCCATCATCATGCACAGCTTCAAGGGCACCTTGCACACAGTCTCTGATTTCTGGAGTTGGGGCCATGTCCCAGTAAAACTGGGATGAGGTGGGGAGAAGGGTAGAGTCCCAGGAGGCAGCCAGCATGGCCCACCATGGTGTTGGCTCAAATTGTGGTCTCTCCACAGCAGACTTCACTGTGGTCTCTGGCTGATGCTGTCATGTGCAAATAATGCTAAGAGCTAACACTTTCTGAGTGCTTGCTGGGAGCTGGGCACTGCTATCCATGGGTGTAGACTCATTCAGTCCTCACTATGGCCCTCATTTTACAGATGAGGAAAGTGGGGCACACAGAGATTAAGGAACATGCTTAGGGTCCTGTGGCTGGTGACATTTCTGTGCTTTTGCCACCAAGCACTACTGCCAACATCTCCCCCTTTCTGTGCAACCCAAGAGGAATCAGAGGTAGAGCATTTAAGGGTCTATTTTAAACAGAAAGATGCTTGGTAACTTTCATGCCCACCCCACCCCCTAGAAAAGTGGCAGGCAGAAAGCTTAGAGAGAGCAGACTCACAGCAGTGTGAGGCTTCTACTGGTCCCTGGCGCAAGGCCCTCCTGCCAGGAGAGACTGTTCAGTATATCCTGACTCCCACCTGATTCCTGGAGGGAGTTACTGTGTAATCTGAGCAACTCACTCAACCTCTCTGAGCCACAGTTTCCTCATTCTAAACTCAGGTAGCCACTGCCTTGCCAGAGAGCTGTGGTGAAAAGAGGCTATCATCCATTCATTCAGCAAAGCTTTATTGAGTACCCTCTCTGGGCCAGATACTGTCCAGGGCACAAGGAGACAGCAGGGAGTAGAAGCAGAAATCCAGCTGGGCACCCATAGCTCAGTGGTTAGGGTGCCAGCCACATGTTCCAGGGCTGGTAGGTTTGAACCTGCCCTGGGCCTGCTAAAAAAGAAAAATAGCCAAGCATCATGGCAGGCACCTGTAGTCCAAGCTACTAGGGAGGCTAAGGCAAGAGAATCACTTGAGCCCAGGATTTGGAGGTCATTGTTAGCTGTGACACCGTGGCACTCTACCAAGGGTGTCAAAGTAAGACTGTCTCAATTAAAAAAAAAAAGGCGGAAATCCCTGCCCAGCTAGACCTTTTGTTCTTGGGAGGTAGGGGGTGACAAATGACAAGATGAGTAAGGAAAATATGTGACATCAGGTGGTAAGTAAAGAGTGCTAAAGGAAGGGGATTAGGGTGTTGGAAAGGTGTTCTTCAAGTACCTTGAGGCACTCAGCATCTGAGGGTAGCCATTACTGCTGGGCTTAAATGATGTCTAACACACATATTCATTTAAATAAGAATATGAGGTGACATTGAAGCTTGCCTGTGACCAGAGTTACCTCCTTGGAGGTAGCTCCTCCTCGGAGTTAGTTACCTCCTCAGAGTTAGCTCCTCCTCGGAACTCCTCTGCATTAGCATAGACATCCAGAGCTGTGGCCACTCAGGTGACCACCCTGCAGCATCTGAGCCTGTCATAAATCTATCTCTTGATTCACCTGCCAAGACATCCAGTTAGTCCAGGCCAAGCTCTCAACATATAGGGAGACATTAGCTAGATGTCAGGTCTGCCCAGTAGATGAGAGCCTGCTTTTGAAAGATCAAGGGAAATTTGAAGAGCTTGTTCAGTGAGAAAAGCAGGGAAGCCCATTGGAGCAGCTGGCCCCAGTCTGGCTCACTCATCCCCTGTCAGTGGCAGCCTGGGAAGGAGGGGCTAGGATGAGGCTCTGCCCGGTCCATGCTCCCCAGGGAACCAGCACTGAGATGTGGATGTCCTCGGAGCTCAGTCTCCAGGGAGCATGTGGTCTTAGACAGACCAGCCAAGTGGGGGCTGCTGCATAGGCTGTGGGGTTTGCTTGGTGGCAGGGCCTGACCCACAGAGAAAAAAGCCCTTACACTTCCACCCTGCTTTCTGACTCACTGGCCACTTCTGTTTGTTTCCCAGGTGCTTTTTCTCCTATACTCTCATGTTCATGCTTTCTCCACACGTGGTATCATGGGAGGTGGTCTGCAGTGTAGAGAAAAGGCTGAGTCTCTATGACCAGGCTCATCAAAGGGAAAAGTTCAACAGCCTCCCAACAGCCTTGGAACCTTCCTGTCTAGTCTGAAAGGGAGGAAGAAGAGTAGAGAGGGGATTGTCTGAGGGAGGTGCAAGGCCCCAGGGACCCAGTGGCGCAGGGACTCTGGCCACCGGAAGGGTCCTCCCTGGGGCCTCTGGCTCCCCACTTGGCCTCTCTGGTCTGCCGCTTAGCCCATCTCCATCCTGGTAGGCTCTGTGGAGTTTGGACTCAGTCCAGTGGCCTCTCCTCAGTCAGCCTCCATGGGGCATTGAGATGCAGTCACATAGCTAGTGGGGCCAGCCCAGCATAGCCCTTCACACTGGAGACCTGGGGGTGCTCCAGACACCTCAACCCCTTTTAGCTCCCTTTAATTAAATGCTTTTAGAGTGGAGTAGATTAAGGAATGATTTCTCCATGGCCTAAGACATTTCTCTCCTCTGTGGTTGTCACTTAGTACCTTACAGCTTTTCTTCCCCTATGTAAATTCCATACTGGAGCCCAGACATTTATCCCCTTTGTAGAAAGGAGTCCACAGGTCAGCTCACCTCTCAGCAGTGCCAGGCAGAGCTGCTGAGGGTGCAACTCAGCTGCTAAGCCCCATCCTTCTCATTGTAGGAGGCGCATGAAGCGGGTCTGGGACCGGGCTGTGGAGTTCCTGGCCTCCAATGAATCTCGAATCCAGACAGAGTCCCACCGTGTGGCTGGAGAAGATATGCTGGTGTGGAGATGGACTAAGCCCTCTTCCTTCTCTGACTCTGAGCGATAAGCCCCAGGCAGGCACCTGTTTCCAGTCAGCCTGTCCCAGAGGTCCACTCCAGGGACATGAGAGGGTCACCAGACCTACTGGTGCTGAATTCACACTTGCCTTGACTTTTCATCCTCCTCCTGACACAATTCCAAAGGTTTCTCTCTGTAAGACTCTTTAGAGGGGCTCAGCTAGTTAGGAAAATGTAGGCTTCCTTTGAGAGTGGAGGGGAGAAGCCAGGGGTGAGGGCCAATCCTCTGCCCCCTTTTGCTGGCAGAAAAGGGGAGAAGGATTTGTTTTTCATGAATAGAAAACAGCAGCAGCTGTCAGACCTAGCAGAGCAAGTGCGAGGGTGGGTGAGCTGGGGCTTGGCCACTTCAGGGTGTCTGCTTGGCCTGGGAGGTGGGGCAGGGACTGTGGGTTGGGTGGTGGGGGGTGGGGAGCAGCTTGGTCCATGTGCCTTCAGAGGGTGTTACCTGGGAGCTCAAGGGGTAAGCCTGTCCTCTAGCTGGATGGGCTCTTTACCCTGAAAGGGAAAGATGCTAGAAATTAGAACAAGTAACTGTAGGGGAACTGATGGTGTAGAAATACCAGGCCCAGATAGGAGCCCTCAGGTCAGGAGGAGTGAGCTGTTGGCATGGCTTCCTGGGAGGAAGAACACAGAATAACAAGGATAGAGCTGAGAGCAGAGAGGAGGGTGGTGCTGCTGTGCAGCTGCCATCTATGGGGCCCTGCCCAGAGGCAGCCTCCAAGGTGGGCCTCTTCAGTGGTGCTTCTCGCAGAAGCTGTGACTTTAGACTGCTGCAACCACAGCATTGCATGGGGCCGGGCTGCAAATGCCCATTCCAGGACTTTGGGGCTCCGGTGTCAGAGCTGGGGGCCTCGCACTTATGTGTGCGAAGATCACCTTGTATTACTGTGACCACAGCACCCCCACCCGGGGCTGTTGAACCAGAACTTCCAGCACAGCAGTTGTTTCTGTGCGACCCGCTACTGCAGCTCCAAGCCGGCAGGGCAAGGCACGGTGAAACAGCCGCATGCTGCCCCCTGCCGGCCACGCCGAGTGATGGCCACGGGGAGTGGTGCCCGCACCGCAGACCCTGGATCCTCCCACCGGCCCAGCCAGCCCTGCCACGGGAGGCAACGTCTAGGAATGCCCTGGCAGGGGGCCTTATTAAGTGTGAGAAGCCGCTCTGGCGAGTCTCAGCCCTGTATGTCCGTATCTACAACAGGCAGGAGAGGAGGAGCAAACGGAGGAGATGCCACAGCTGCCTCCAGAAGACATTAGCCACCCCTCTCTGGTCTTATTGGTATTTTTTGTTTCCTTAATAAAGCTCCAGTCTCCCTCATTTGAGCAATACTCTCATTTCCTCTGATGTCTGCATGATCCGAGGGCTGGAATCTGAGTGCCGCCCTGTGGTGAGGCTGTGTTCTCATAATCAGGCTCCAGCCAGAAGAAATAAACACTGCAACAAGATTCAGTATCAGGGTTGAGACTGCTGGATAAATAAACTATTTATTAAAAATGGATGTTTCTCGTCCCTGGTTCTCTCCCTTCCCTCCTAAAGCAGTATCTAAAGAGTGGCAGTGTGTGGAGTTCTGAAGCACTGGCTCTGAGAGGGAGAGGGCCCAGCAGGACAGGCTCTGTGGCTCTTCCCAGACCTGTGGCCTTCCTGCCTCTGGGCCTCCACCCCAGTCCTCAGAGCCTTGGTTTCCACATTTGTGACACAGTGTGATGACCTTAGCCTACAGGGTGGCTGTGAGTGTTGCATTTTGCAAGGTGCCTACATGGCCCTAATGGGTGACTGGAAGTGGGAGGTAAGGGGGGAAGGCCCTTTTCCTTCAGTTCTATTTCTGCCTCCCTTCAAGGCCCCAGAGTTTCCCCTGGGGAGCTCAATACTAGCCCCTGGAAGACCAGGAAGAAAGAGTAGAGTGAGGTTGGATGGGGCTTCCCAGCAACTGATAATGTCCCTTAAGAAAAGACTTGCTTTCTCCTCTAGGCCCCAACTATTGAGGAGACCACTCATCACCCACCTGGGTAGACTGGCAGGCCCATGGGGTCCCCTGTCCACAGGCCCAGCAGGACTTGGCAGAGGTTTGCTGAGAATGCCTCAGGATGTTACTACTCTCCACCAGTGCTGGCCCTGCCTACAAGCCCACGGCAGAAACATGCGGGGAAAGATGCAGGCATTGAGAGCTGGTGCCAAAACCAGCTTGGGCCCCCCGGGGGGTCATGGCCATTTATAGCCACCTTTTCTTCCACAGTGAACACCAACCTGTTTACTCCATCAACAGCCGGTCCACAGTCAAAGGACCCAGAAACATAACTGGAGGTGGGGGATGAGCCCATCTTTCCCTTTTCTGTTCTATAGTGAAATATTCTCCCTCTGCTGTGTTTTGTCTTCAGCTGAGATAGAGCTGATGCAGGGCTCTATTTCTGTGAAGCTGTTTGGAGAGCAGGAGAGAGATCAAAATAAACTAAATAACAAAAGGCCCCCGCCAGCCCAGCTCCTTCCTTTATGGAACACAGAGCAGAGCGCCTGGGCACAAAGGCCCCAAGCCCTCAGCCTCACTCAGGTTGCAGACATTTTCAACCAGGCTTGGCAGCCTTCTTCAGCTTTGAAGGGCCAAGTCTCACTTTTAAGTAGCTCTTACTTCAAAAGAGACAGCACAGGGTGGTAGAGCTGGTTAAGGAGGCAGTCCAAGGTTTCCAAGAAGGGGGTCTGAGGGATCTTCAGGCTGGACATGTTGCAAAGCTCCAGTTGCTCTGCCCAAATCCTTTTTGAGCACTCCCCGGGCAGCAAAACTGTCTTTCCTCAGTGACAAATAGCCCTCCAGGGACTCCATGGGCTCCGCTAAAGAAGCTTGGGGGGTGAAGAAGGGAGAGGTTGTACCCCACAAATCTCAGCCATGGACATCAACCCATGATCTCCAGGCCACCTTCCAGAGTCTCAACTCAGAAAAAAGGTAAACACTGCCATTTGTCACTGACTTATCATAAGAACTGCAGTAGCAGCTGTTCCCCTTAATTAATAACACCATTGACTTTGAGCCTCAAAAAAAAAATCCCTTTTTAAGGCAGGTGCATGGACTGAAATCCATTATCCTGTCGGCCTCCCCCAAAGAGAAGGGACAGAGGAACAGTTATACAGTAAGTCACCCAACTGTTCCAAAATAGTCCTCCCTGGGCAGCCAGACTAGTCTCTCCACCTCATCCCAGGGAAAGTGCTAGAGACAGGAGAGAATCTGGACAGAGTGTCTCATGATGTACCAGGGACGAGAAGGGCAGAAGGACCAGTGGGGTGGCTGGACCCCTGACCCCCATGCCATCTGGTGCCCGCATGCCTTCCTAGGGTAGCACTGCAGCAAGAGGGATAGAGGCATGGGCTCAGCATCCTCAGGACAGCTCTGCCCTGGAGACCTTTACCCCGTACCCAGGGGCATTACTAAATTATAAAATTAGCCTACACATGACAGCATTACGACTCATTCCCAGTGAACTGCAGCTCTAAGACTTCTCACAACAGCCCTGCTTTGGGCTGTAGGTGCCACTGTCATGCCCTCTCTGTGGGAGACAGGTAAGGAGAGGAGCCAGCATCAGAACCCAGAAAACCTGGATCCAGAGCCTGTCTCAGCCCTTCATGTTCGCTTTCCCAAAGGAAGGAGGGGGAGCCACTCTCAGAGTTGTACTGCCATGGGTTTGCCAGAATAAAACCACTTCATTCCAGAGGAAGACCAGGACCCCAGCCCCAGCCATGACTCCCCTTCTGCTCTCACTGTGCTAGGGCCAGGCCCCTTGCCATCCTGCCTTCACTGCTCTGCTCCTGCCTCAGGGCCTTTGCACTCGCTACCCACCTGCTCTGCAGCCCCCAGAGTTACATGCAGCTCCCTCCCTCCTCTTCAGGTCTTGTGCCAGCATCATCTTTCCTGTCTGAAGTTGTAACTGCTCCCCCACCCTACACACCCTCTAGGACCCAGCTCCCCTTTTTCTCTCCTGACAAGCTACAGATTTTATTCATTCCTGTCATCATCTCTCCATTCACTCTCATATTAGTGCCTTGAGGACATGAACCTTTGTCTGACTCACTTCTGGGTCCCCAGCATAGAACACTGCCTGGCACACAATAGACGCTTAATAGTCAAAAGATAGATAAATGGAAACCTCCAACCCAGGAGAGCCTGGCATTGAGTTTCTAAGGTTTCTAGTCAAGCTGATTTTGTTATTTTTTTCTTTTTTCAGTCTGACAATCTGAGTCACCTGAGGCACTGTCTGCCATGGGCCCCGGTGCTCCTCCTGGCCTGGCTGCACACACCTCCCCCTGCAGGTCAGGGTCCGTCCATGTCCCCACCCCAAGTAAACAACCTTCATTCTGGCCACAGAGGGGACCCAGCTGGACTGCCTGAAATGGGGCAGGGCTCTCCAGTTGGCCAGAGACATCAAACAGGAGCAGCTGTGTTTACTGCTTTTCCTGAGTGGGACACCCAGCAGGGCACCAAGGACCTGCCCAGCCCCTAGCACTGTACAACAGAGGAAGCGATGGTGAAGATGGTCTAGGGACCGGGCTCTCCCTTGAGTAGGCCCCAAACCAGACATGCCTGGGATTTACATAAGATGCTGGTCAGAGTAGTCCCTCCAAAGTCAGACATGCCTGGGATTTACATAAGATGCTGGTCAGAGTAGTCCCTCCAAAGTGTGATTTCTTGCCAGCCGTGGTAAAGGAGAGCTTGGAGTAGATTTAACTTGATCTCTAAGGAAAATGATGGGATGATTCTCCTTGCTGAGAGCATAGTCCAGTTCATCACTGATGCCCATCTGTGAAGTTGAGAGTAACTGTCTCAGCATCACAGGGTGAAGTGAGATTCCAGCTGCGGACAGCAGCTTTGCAAACCACAAAGGTGCTGCCCACTGAGGGACCAGGCCTGTGCTTCGTGGACCAGGTAGGTGAACAGAAATAGTCCCAGGCAGAGTCTCAGAATGAGGAAGAAGCTGAACAACAAGCTCTAAGAAGAAAGGGTAGGGGAGGTAGCCCTGGTGATTACAGCAATTTCTAAGCTGCTTCTCTTTCGTAAGGAGACAGGGGAAAGTACAGTAATTTTCTTCAATGAAAACAGGCAACAGAATTCCCTTTGCCTCGTTCCCCTTGCAATTAAGCCCTTCTCTGCAAATGAAATGATTTGGTTTTCATCGGGACTAATTTAAGCACACTGGAAGGACCGCTGAACTTTTTGATTACAGACACCAGCATGTTCAAAACAACCCAGCAGTGACGCCAGGCTTGTGAGGCTGCCCTGCCTGGGGAGCCAGGGTTTTGACAGGGTGAGGGTAGATGAGCTGTGGTTGGGAGCTCAGCTCTGCCCCTGAATCCGTGGCCCTCTCTGTGTGGCTGGTCCTCTTCCCTGCTCCAGCCTCTTTGAAATTTGGCATTGCAATAGGACTTACTTCAGCCAATGAAATGTGAATGGAGGTGACAAACTGTACTTTGAGATGGAGTCAGTTCTCAGTGCACCTGTTCTTTTCCTCTGCCATGGTGTGGTGCTGCCCCTCAGCCTGGATCCCAGAATAACTTGCAAATCCCCAGCTGCCCTGCAAAGTATAGTATGCTTAAGAAGCCAGCCTATGCTATTACAAGTCACCAAGAGTCTGGAGGGTGGGGCAGATGGTTGCAGCATCAGCTAGCCTGTGATGACTGACACAGATAACTGGCTACTGCCATCTTCCCTGGGGGAAGGATGCACAGCCCACATCATAGCAGGGGAGGCAAAGGAACAGGCCTACACTTCTATACCCAGTGTTAGGGGGCTAGGGAATGAGCTAGAAAACTCTGGAAGGTCTGTCCAGGTTCTGGGTTTGGGGGGCTCTACTAGGCCTTGGGCAGTGTCTGGCAGACTCTGTAGTGAGGGGCTGAAGCTGGATCTTTCCAAGTCGGCTACCACTGCTGTGCAATTACCACCAAGACAAGGCCCGAGCGTGGTCCCCTGGAGAGAAGGATCAGAGAAGCATCGCACAGCAGGTGCAGAAGCATGCAGTAGTTCTCCTGCCAGGCAATCATGCTGTCTCCACCAGCAACAGCCATGGCCACAGTAGAGAAGGTAGGACTGCACATTCAGAGGCTGCACTGTGCAGGTTTAACAATGGTGGGAGGGCCACACAGCATTCCCAGGAAAGCCAAGGCCTGTGATTCTGGTCAGCCTTGACCCGAGCACGGTGGAAGAAGCCAGTGGGGCATAGCCAGGTCAGAGACTGTTAAAATGGCTGTCAGCAGTGATGAGGTAGCATGGACATCCTAGAGCATCCCACCCCCACAGGGAGACAGGTGCACAAAATATGGCTGTTAAGTGCCAGGCTGTCTATGGCATGAAGGTGACTGGACAAGGGTGACAAGCCCAGGCCAGAGAAAGGGAAGTGTGTGCACGTATGTGTTTGTGTTTGCAAGCCCGCACATGCGCATGCCTATGCTGTAGTCACCCAGTGGGGGGACAGGGCTTTCTCTGAGACAAGCACGCTCCGTGTACTTTATCAAATTTGCAGA